GATGAGACCTCAGCAAAGTTATTCCCCGTCTTCTCCCTTCTTGTCAGCGTCTTCCGTTGCCTGAAAAAACATCATCATTGGCATTAGATTACATAGAAAGACCACAAATCATTTTAGGGTGTTATATGTAAGATTTGCCAGTATATGACTTTGTTACCTCTTCGTCAGCTTTCGTTTCTCCGTTTTCTGCGGGCACCTCCTCTTTCTTCTCCTCCTCCTTGGGCTCCTTGGGTTCCTTTGTTTTCTTAGGTTTGGCAGCCGCCTTCTGCAATGTGGTAAATTGATTTTTTATATTGTTGCCAAGTTATAATTTAGAATTTAATCTAGGTTTTTATCATTCTTCTTATTTCAACAGTTTTATTACCTTTGGCTTAGGCTCTGCCTTTGAAGGTGCAGGTTTCTAAAAATGAAGAAGTTATAATACATCAATTAATAAATAGAGAATGTAAATAATTGCCATATCTGTTGAATGAATGAGAACTGTATATACAAGTAGATCATGAATACTCACGTTTACCAACCTCTCTGACCTTCTTTTAGGCTGCAAAGTAATAAGTTGAAAACATGTACCTTATTTTGATGCAATAAATATTTATTGTATTATTAAACTGTATTTCTGTGCAATAAGGAGTGAGATCTGCTTACCTCAGTGACTTCAGCATCATTGTTCGCCTATGGGGGAAAAAAAAAAAGTATTATTCTCAAGTCCATCAGTGTAATTGATAACAGATGCATCTTTAGCTAAATTATTAGCTAAAACAGTCTAGCTCATCAGGGAATTGTACAAATTTCATTTATTTTGATTCTGATTCCTCCTTAACAATTCTTTTAGTACTTTTGAGAAGACATTTTCTGAGGGAAAAAAAAGAATATTTCTTCAAATGACATAAGTTCAGTTTTTAAAAGAACAGAAATCAATTTAAAACAACTGCAGAAGATGTTTACAGACTTTTCATAGTTTTAGAGGCCAGTCAATAATTGGTTAAAATACCAAAACAAACAAAACACGTGGTACTAAATCTCCTTCACTGATTTATTTGAATAAAACATTACTTATTAAAAATCATGTCATAATGTGAATAAAGCCACGTTGGCATGAATAACCAGTCAGTAACTTACTACAATAATTTAAACGAGCTATAAGTAAAACATAACACCGAAACAGTTCTTGATTCCTTTCCAGTCGGACATGACCAAAGTAAATAACATGTGGTTTTCATCAACTGCGTATTTAGTAACCGCTTTAACTGATTCATGTGATTTATTAGAAAGGGGCTGATAAAACCCATAACCATTCCTTAGGGAACCGGAATAATCGAGCTGTATATTATTGATTCACTCAAAAAGATCCGGTTCGTTAGAGTCATTTGTTCGAGAACCAGACTACACAGGTCGCCACGTATGGTTTTGATTCATTAAAAAGAATCGGATCACTTGAGTCATTCGTTTGGGAATGAGCCTACCCGGGTTGTGCGGTAAAGAATCGGATCGGGGTTCGGACATGGTTGCTCTACGTTTCGTACTGTGTGTGGATTATTTCTTAAAGTAACGACTCTCAAATATACAGCCGGCAATTCATCAATGTTTATGCCCTGCCTCCGTTCTCCAATACTGCGCTGCTCGGTCCGTTTTTATTGCACTCTTGCGCGCACCGCCCCCTTCATGCACACCGACTCATTCAACGCTGATTAATGGAGATTTGCTCTCGCCCACCGACCCCGCTCCATGACATTCCCGCCATTCGCTTTCAAACACAACATCCCGAGGTGCACAGCCGAGAGGAAAAAAACACTACAGAATATACCAGAATAATAGGAAACACCAAACAGAGGCGCTATGATGTGCAAGAATACCGCCATTGCATAATCTGGCACT